CCTAACAATAAAAAGTTCCTTTGTCTTGTTTGTGTTGCCATTTCAACTCTACATTTTCAGAAGCATAAACTATCTTATCTTAAGACTCTTATCTATGAGAGACAAGCAGGGCATTTCTCAGTCCTGAAATTGCTAAAACTGCCATCTTAATCCCACTTATTGAGAGAACATAGGGTCTTGTTTCTGGGTAAATATATGTAAGGTTGCATTGTAAATCAGAGCTAGAAGGCTACAAAAATTGAGGAGCTTTCAAGTAAATCTGCTGAATATCAGACTGCATTTTGAACAAGAGCCATATGTTTCACAGAAGTGATGGGTCTACAGGTGGGATTTGGCTAGCACTACATCGGCATGGCCCTCTGGGCAATTGTGGGATGCTTCTAGTAGACAGTAGACATGAGATGCATCTGCAAACAGATGGCTACTGCTAACAAATGCCCCAACAAAAGGAAAATGTCCCTGCCAAATTCAGTGTCCTGTTTGCAAGTGCCAAATTTGAAGGGAGTCATTTTTGACAATATGGTGGGGGTGCTTTATTGAGGACTCTCAATTCATGTTGGCAGTAGCCCAGTGCTCCTTTTTCTCTTTTTGTTGCATTATCCCACTTAATTGTTTTAATTATGTGGATTGTATCTGAATTCTTTAATATTAGATTGTTAGCTGCCCCAAAGAACGGTGCATCAGCACTGACCCATCCATTTCTGAAACAGATGGAGATCCAGGAATGGCTTTACCAATGGCCTCTGCTGGAACATAGGAAGCATTTTAACCAGTATTCCTTCCCTCTGAAGCCCCTGTGATACTTGCAGTCAGATAGGGTCCCAACCCTCCAAGGCAGATATATGGAAGGAATCTACAAAATCTTGGTATCTGTCTAGACTTGCTTTAAAAATGTCATTGCAAAGTTCAAATGTGGGTTAGTATCTTTAGTCATTATGAGCATGCTTTGCAATGGTTTAGTCAGTGCCACCTAGAGAAAGAAAACGGACTCTTTTGTAACATTATTAGTATTATTAATTCCCCCCATTTGCTTCATTCAGTAGGGTGGAGGGATCTATGTTCAATTACCACTGAATATGTGCAGAAATGAAGTTGGACCAGTAATCCATGGCTGCCAACTGTTTAAATAGCTGTCAGTAAAATGGATTAGCTCTCTGAAATTGTTCCTGTAGTCATAATCATATAATTTTATAGTACCATAGTAATGAAGCAGCTTGAATAGTATCCGGCTTCTGCCTGAAGGAAGGGGAGATTCTGGTCTTTCCTCTTCTTTTGTGCAATAATGCTCATTCCCATCTCTGCGGAGAAGAGGTGCTAAGCTACAGATAAAGAAAGGCCAGTAATAGCCCATATACTTTCTGTTGGTTATAGATATGATCTGAAATAAACACACTTCTGCAGTGATCATTCAAAGGCTTCCATAACTGTTAGTAAGATGGCGCTCCCCCGCCCCTTCCTCATGCAAAGCACTTTCAAGAAAACAACTGCAAGGGAATGGCTGTGAGCTAAATTGCACATTGGGGAGTTTATGCATGAATCAGTATTAAGTACTGCAGTATTGGAGGTCATTTATAATCCCACTGTCAGGTTTTGTGTTCAATACCATTATTATGCTATAGTAAGCACAGCCAGGCATCTCGTTCCACAAAATGAGGTACTGGGAGGAGAAGAGGGCCACAGATGTCTATAGCAGATTTGCTTTCATATCCCTGCCATTTGAAATCTGTTTGTGCTGAACTGCTGATGACTTCTTGTGGAGCTCTGCTAACAGGATAAACGAGAGCAATACATTCAGAGTGCCACATCACCAAGAACGGCAAAGACCAGCCCTCTCCCCACCGCTGTGTGCTTTTCAACAAGATGCGCTACTCTTTTTGTACCCACTAGGGGACCATTTCAGCCATCATCATATGGCAGTCACCTTGTCACCAACATTAACTATGCTGCACCAGATAGAGGTGGTGAAACTGAGGAGGGGGCACATTATCTCTCTTATTGGAAGCTGTGCTTCATTTTTACACAACCGTTTGCCTCTTGAAGCTGCCCCTGGTTTCTGAGGAGCTTTCACTTCTGCTGTGTCTGGTCACAAGACCAAATCATAGTGCTTCATAAATAAACACTCCCTTTCTCCCCATAAACTTTGATTCCTTCATCTCATGTAGCAGCAAACCATTGTTTGTGCTGTTATCTGAACTGAACAAGCCAAGATTGCAAACCATGGTTTTAACTGGATACAATCCTGCTGAAATTTAAACATCCATCAGTTTGGAATTCTCTATTTCTGCATCAAGTATGGGGTTAGATGAGATTGCCCAATGAATCTAATGGGATCGCCACCCTGTTATGTTGGCAACATAAATCTCTATAGTCTTAAAGCAAGTCAAATAAAAATTTTCCCATGGAGGTTGCTTTAAATTGCTCTGAACTGCATTTTTCTCTATGACCAGCATGTGGACCTTTGTATCTTCAGTGCCTGTACATGACATGCCCCTGCTAATACTTTTATGAATGGTTGAAGTAACCGAAACAGCCTTCTGCTTAAGTCATAGCCTTTCTTTTCCTTTTCTTCTTTGCTTACCAAGTGTTGCTTTTGTTGACTAAGGAACTCTTTTCCCTCCAGAAGGCAGGACTAATTTTGAACTTCTTCAGACAGATATTTTTGCCTTCACTAAAGATAAGGGCAAAACTCTCGCAATAAGTTTTCTGCTTGTTGTTGGTATAAGCTGATAATTTCTGCAGGCACTGTTTGTGAACAATCCTGACTAGAATATTATAATTAAGCCTTCAACAAGCTGGATGTAAATGCATACATTTGATATTCTAATTTTAAAGTTAGAGTTTATTATCTAATGCTCTGATAATGTATAGATATAACTAATCACTTTTCAGCTATTTCTTATTTCTGAATTTGCATCAATACAAAAATATTGGCATATACGCATCAGTATTCCCTTTTATCCTCTTTCGGTCATTCTTTGGTGATGAAGTGGGTAGCCAGCCTGTGTCTATCCCAATCAACAAATGTATGTATACATGGCTTTTTGCAGTCCACAAGCATAGTAAACAAATAAATAGGTACAACAAAAATATATGGAATCATAAGCTCATCAAACATGTCCATAGCAAGCAAAAAAGTTATGACAGTAATTTATTTATTTATTTATTTAAAACTTTTCTATACTGTCCCATATTTATACTGTATGTCTTGGGATGGTTTTAAAGATAAGATTCCTAAGAGCAAACACCCCTAAAGTTCATGTACATTGAGCTAACAAAACTTTCACTGACTAATCCAAATCATGAAGCTACCTTTAACAGAAAGTACCTCAGCGTCAAAACATTATAACTTATCCAGTTAAATCCAAAATTTATCATTACCTTGCAGCAAGACAGCAGACTGTAGAGATGCATCAATCTCATCCAAAACTACCACTGGGTCACATTCAGGGGCTGGACTGGCCTTTGTAGTCAGTCAGGGCTCCAGCTTCTCAGGCCAGGTAGAGATCGGCCTGGTAGGTCAGGACAGCTCAACAGCCTCCAGCTACCTGAATGGGAGTGAAATTGCTTTCAATCCAAATATTTTGTCTTATCCAGTTTATGGATTTATTGCAAAAGTGCAGCTGGCAATCTACATAAACCTCTGCATTGGTATTCAAGCTGTCTGAAGTCTATCCATCTGAATGGGAATGAACAGTTAAGGTCTATACAAAGTGATTTAGAGTTGCTGGTTTGAGCATTTTTCTTCAGCTTCTGGGCAGCCTTTGACATAGCTTTCTTTGAATTAAATTGTGTTGGCCCAGTAAGATCCAAACAAAAACAAGACCCCACATAAATTGTGCTTGGAAACATTATATTTAAAACTGTACCCTAAGATTATATATCCTCTCTGCCAGTTCAGCATTTCAATCAAAACTGAATTATGTTTTCATTTTTTTTTTGTTTAAAAAAGTAGAGAGGGGATCTAACCATGAATCTTCTATATTATGTCCATTCTATAATGAAAAGCTTTTCATGGTACTTTTGGTGTAGGTGCATATGGAATTCCCCTTTTTTTAAAATAAAGCCACAGTCCTAACTTTTCAGATTCTTATCGTGCACCTGATGTGGAGTTGCTAGGAATCTATCACCATTACCTGATAGCTGAATGATACTCAGAGGAGCAGTACATTTTATTCATTTATTTATTTATACACAAAAACCAGCACTACCAAAATTCATTGCTATGATGGAGGTTTCATATTCAAAAATGGAGCAAAATTCCCAAATACATTTTCAGTGGAAGATTCTCTACTCGTGTTCCATTGAGAAAAGAGAATTGGCCATCTTTCCAGGCCTAGAGGAGTTTGAGTTATGTGGCATCTTTTTGTACTTGGCATTTTGCTTTGCAGGTCATGAGAGCCCAAGGTCATTGAAGGTGTGATCCTGTAGTCCTCAGTATTGCCTGGAGGACAGAGGTTTAGGATTATTTGGATCTTTAGCTGTGCACCCCTCACAACCAGTGCAAAGAACTCCCTGTACCAACCACTTCTTCAAGTTCAGAAATCATGCTCAGGAGGGCTCAGAGAACATGCTGGAGCGGCAGAAGTGGGGAGGGACAGAATCTGGGGCTGATGGCTTACACTGTTCTCCAAATGACACCCCAGCCCCTTCCCTCCCCCTTCACCATCTAGATATCAACAGGCATCTGGAGGAAATGCAGAGCATCAAGCACAGGGAGGCGGAGATTGCACCCTCTGTCAAGGGCAGAGGCCACAGGATTGTCCCAGAATGCCTCCAGAAGGCCAGATCAGCCCCACAACTAAGCCTGATTCCTTCATGTTATTATTGCCATTCCCAATTTAAAAACACACATTTCTGGTAGTGGTATTGTTGCTAAAGTGCTTTCAGAACTCAACCTCAAAGTGGTGGTGATCAATAAGTATGTGTTCTCAATAGTCTGATTTTTACCTTCTTTTTGTTTGTTCTCTCTCCCATCATCATGGCACCTCCTAACCTTGCAGAATGCTCTGGGCCTTTGGGGATTGAAGGAGGAATCATTTCAAACCAGCAGATTACTGCATCATCCACCCATCGGGCTCTTTTTGGGCTCCAGAAATGGTACCCCTACTATGCACGACTTAACAAGAAGGGCCTTGTAAATGCTTGGACTGCTGCAGAAAATGACAGATGGCCATGGATCCAGGTAACAGATGGGCTTGTGAGCGGGCGGGTAGAGAGAAGTCTCCTAGTGGTTGCTGCCAAAATCATTTAAGGAACTGATGAAGACAAATGGTAAACTACTATCCAGATTCTTATTTGCAACTTAAATTGAGGCCCTAGACATGTGAGGATTTTTTTTTTTAAATTGTGACTGCAACTCTGGGTCTTTTCAATGTTCAGTCATACTTGACTCCAGGAAAATCTTTTATGCTTGAATTGCCAGTTTGCAAAGATGTTTAACAATGAAACAGCTCTTTCTTTTCCTTACACTGTATCTTTGTTCATTAGTACTGTCATAACATCAATTTTACTACTCAAAACCAAAAACAAATAAAAGCCATCCATAGAACCCACCTGCAAAAAGTGAACAACTGATAGACAATGGCAAATTTTACTCAAAGTGGTTCTGTAGCTTGTATTTTATATGAGTCCCAGATACCTCTGAGAGTAGCTTCAGAAAGACTGCCTTTACACTATACAAACCACATTGATCATCATCCAGGTGCTAAAAGCTCCATTGGCACCTGAGACGAGGGTACCAAGGTAGATGCAGTTGTCTTTTTAAGCCCTTTTGTGCTTTTGTAAGTATGAATGGCCTCAGTTCAGTTTGAACTGTGAAATGTGCTCTGGCTGGGGAATCCCCTCCCCCCCCCCCGCAATTTTAACTTGTAATTTTATCCCAAGCCTGCCAATTTTACCACCTGCCTTCACATGGGTGCCCACACATGTGCATGCACACATAGGAGAGTTTTTAGAAAAGGAACATGTTTGCAGTGCCATCCGTGGAGGGTGTTCCCTTTTCTTAACCCCACTCACTCCGTTTTCAGGAACCTCATGGTGGGAAGAAGGATTCATGCTGTCCTCTCCAAGCACAATGTTCCCACTCCAAATAAGGTCCACACATGTACACTCAGTTTAAAAACAAAAAGAAAAGAGTGCAACAAAACAACCATAACAAAGGGACAAGCCTGAATTACATTCAGTGTGATTAGCATAATGCATGGTTTGCTGCTTAGTTTCTTTTGAAAGGGTGAGCCTTGAAGATGAAGGTGACCCTTGTACAGGCAGAACATATGGGGAGCAAACAGATTCCTCCATCATTAGGTAGCCCAGTGGTTACCCTGAGACAGATTCCTAGAGGACTACTGCTCCACCTACCCACCACCACCTGCACCCCAGTTTTATTTATCTCCAGTCTACCTCTGACTTTGTCTCCTAATGTAAACTTCAAAAGCACCATTTTTCCCTTCCTAGCTGAAGGGGATGCATAAATTGATCCAAAGGGTGCAAGAATTTCCACTCTTGGTTCCTATCTGAATAAGTATGAGCCAGTTGTCTCAAGGAATCAGCAAGCCATCAGCACCCAACGCAGCCTCGTTTCTCAGCTCCTTGAATGGGAATAGCTTTATTCTTTTCTTCTCCTGTCCAGGAATGACTGTGTACAAGCCAAAAAAAAGGAATCAAGTTTGTCTTTCAACTAGTGATGCAGGAGGCATCTTTACATAAATGCATGTGTGCATTTCAGCTGTGGATTAACCTGTTTTTTCATATTCCATGTGAACTTAACAGAGGAAGATAGCAAGCTGCCTTACAAAGAATGAGACTCTACCTCATACAGTATTGTCTGCACTGATTGGAAGTAGTTCCCTGGGATGAGCAGCCTATGGCCCTTCAGATGTTTTCATCAGTTCTAGCAAGCATAGCTAATGGTTAGGGATCATGAGTGTTGTAGATCAAAACACTGGAGGTTTCAGATAGGATGGTTTCCCAATCTAATGGTGAGATGCCAGGAGTTGGGCCAGCAGCCTACAATGAACCTTCCCCACATATCAGATGATGTGCGAAAGTTGTGTGTGGTGTACCTGCAGGTGGAGACACCTGATGGACTGCCCCTCCACTGTGAAGTGGGGATAGATTCCTGCTCTCAGCAAACTAGTACATTAGTTGCTTAGACATAGCTAGAGCTCTTCACTATAGTTTTCCCTGCTATTGTAGTTTACCTTTTTTTTTATGCAAGAGCATTCAGGCCTGTCAGCTCTCAGCCACATTTTGAAGTGGTACACTCCATGTTTCATATGGTGCTTGTGAGACCCAGGCCTCAGTGACATATGCCTGACAGATATTTGTCAAGAACTGTTCAGAGGAACAGAATGTCAGATGACTACAATTGCTGAGTTATTTTCATTGGAGTCAGTTTTTAACAAGGCACGTTATTTTCATACTTTCAACAGTCACAGTTTCACTTTTCTCATATACAAGTAATCCTTTTAGACATGAATAAACGAAAATAAATAATGTTTAGAAACCTTTGAGCATAAGGGAAATATGAAGCAAGCACAATATAATTTTGCAGTATCTCCTGAATACCTTGTGGCACCAAGGTATATGGCGTAAGGTGAAGGATGGCCCTCTTTATCAGTGTTGAAAGGTTGATAGGTTGATGAAAGTTTTTCCAGGTACAGGAAACTTATGAACCATTCAAACGGGATGATTTGGATGCTTGGACTTTTTTTATTTTCTCTCAAAATGAATTGTACACAGCATAGTTCATGTGCTTAGAAGCACAAAGGTCCAAACATGCCTTAAATACATGTCTTTTATTACTTGAATCAAGTAGTAAAGGACACATATTTTACTACATATCAGATTGAATTAATCAGATATTAGCATATTTAATGCATATCAGATTGATTTTCGCATTGATTTTACTTGGCAAAGTTGTTCTTCAAACTAATAACATATGAGTTGACAATTTTGCAATTCCAGTGTTTTGTGCTTCGATTTTCCCTTTACAGTGTACCAAAGTAAGTAACTCGCTTCAGAACACTTCATACAAATCCTTGATCTGAAACATTTATTAAGAACTTGGAAAGCATTTGTTTTAAATATCAAAATTTTATACCATGGCACTTAATAGATGAACCATATTAAGGTAGTAGCAGTGGTAGGAGAGTCATGGGGAGGAAACACCACATCCTAAACCCCATTGATTTGTGCTAATTTGATGGAAGTGTTTCCTTTTTTCATCCCTTGGGATTGTGTTATTTCCAGCCCTGTTTCATGCTGTGGGGGAGACACAGGATGTGGACCTTTGTCCATCCCAACTTGCTGCCACACAGCTCTTTTTTCTGACCGATGGACAGTGAACTATTACCAGAAGAGCAGAAGGTGGGAAGATTCACTGCCAGCCTGGGAGGACCACTGTAGGAAGATATCCATCACAGGGCATAATCTATAAAACCATCTAATAATAACCCCATCCTATGTGGTAATAATTACAGGTCAGGAGGCCTTTTCTTCTTGAGAGGAACTTTTGATGTCCTCCTTTTTTTCATCTAGATGGACCTTACCAGGTAGCATTCAGCAGGACATTGGATTGGTATAATTCATCATTGCTCATGTTTTAACTGTTCTTAGAATTATCAGTAATGTCATGCTGGATGTTTGATGGGATTATGTTGTTCTTTTAGTTTTAGGTGCTTTTAAATAATTGATGGCTTCATAGAATAAATGGGTGTTTTGATGTATTTTTTTTTAATGAGAATGGTTTAGTGTTGAAAAGCATCATACAAATAATTAACATAAATAAACCATGTATGTGTTATGGCCCCATTTTAGAATATGAACATGTATTCTTGGCATGATAGAGAATGGGACAGAGGGACAGAAGTCCCCTTCTTTCAAGAGTCACCAGATGGCAAGGAGGATGTGTCCCCTGTAGCATTAAAAATTGAGTAGAAGGCTTTTCTAAGCCTTGTATGATCACCCATGGTTCCCAAATTACTTAGGCTGTAATCACTTAAACACATTCACACTTAAATGAATTTTCAGGAACTTCTTGTTCTGTTTTCTTTTAGTAGATATGTACAGGATTGTATTGTTATCTCTAACCAGCCATGAAAGTCACAGATTCCCTATATATTCCTGCAGCCAGCTACTCCATCCACTTTGTGACTACTTTTACCTTTTTTCTTTTTTTTTTTATCCATAGTCGTGTAATAGTTGAATGGCATTTTCATAACTTTTCTAGGTACAAAGGTAGTATTTCTCTGAATACCGGGTGCTGAGGAAGTTGTACAACCTCCAATTTAGGCTTTTTAATTCCCCTCCAGGGGGGAATGGAATTAAAGGAGGAAACATGTGGAAAGAATAATTATCACACACATACCCTGTGCCTGGAGTGCTATAATTGTAGTCCACATCAAGGCTGTTCATGCTTCATGACTATGAAAAACAATCTCACCTATCCATGAATATGTGGTTGGTAATAGAACATTTTGTTTGGCCCTTGTGTCTTTCTATTCCCTAAGCAGTTTAAGGAATTTGATAGTGGGTTTGGTTTGCATATTATTACCACTTTGGATAAAGAATTCTGCCTATACTCTGTTCCTTTCCTAAAACAGAATACAGACTTTAAAATTTGAGGGAGGGAGGGAGGGAGGGAGGGAGGGAGGAAGGAAATGCTAAGCACTCAAGAGAAGTGTCTTGACATATCTGACATCTACTTTGCCTAAGGTTGTGGAAATCAGCAAAACTCAAGTTCATGGAGGGTCTCTCAGTGCTCCAGCTCAAAGTTTAGTGAGCGCATTTCTTCTTGCATGTAAGATTAATCACTAAGTACTTGTTGCACATTCAAAGGTACACACTCTTCTCCCATTGATTAAAGTGTGTTCATGTACACTTTTAAACAAGTACATGTTTTCATGCATGTATTCGTCATGTATACATTTTTCAAACATCCCTCCCACATGCCAAACACACACAAACAGCGTTGCAAGCTCAGGGCACTCAAGTCTAGACTGGAGATTGTAGTTGTGTTTGGACAGTGCAGGTTGCAAAAAGAAATGAACTGAGCAGAGTCTCTCCCACATCCCTCGCTGTGCTCTGGTTCCATGCTGAGAATAAAGAAATGTAGAAAACAAAACTGGACTAGCAGATGGACTTTTAAGCTGGATTTCAAGATACCTATATTTACCTCAGAGT